CACCGACTCTATGCCATGGCGTCATCGAACGCATACGTTTCAAGTGTATAAATACAATATTATACTGTTATTATGCCGCGGCGGCATCACAAACATCATTAAATTATTTTGTAACGCTTGTACAAAGCAACGGACCACTGGCCATTGGTCGGTGGGTGGCTATAATATAACATGCGCTTGTTGGCCCGCGTCCATTTCAATTACGTAGGCGTGATAAGCGGCGAAGAGGATCAAGGGATCGTTACGGGGGAAAAAAAAAATACTCTGACACGCACTCGAAGAAATAATCGGCTCTCCGTTTTAATTGTTGGCGGCGACCCACACGCCCCTCGTGTACGCCAGAAACCCACCTATCGGCAATCGTAATGCGAGGCTTATCGTGACACGACTGTCCGCACAAAAAAAAAAAAACATTAGGCCGTCGTTTGATTGTATTCAAAACCAATGTCATTGTTACGATAACATTGTGTTGTTCCGCTGAACCAATGATAAAAATATATTAATCATTATAATATAAGAATATCATAATTTTATAATTCGTCTTGATAATATGCTGTCCGTTGCATTTAACTGTTTTCGAATCATATTATGAATTTTATACCTACACAATACGTTATTACGAATAATGATTATTTAGGGCAGTCGGTAATTGGGCCACATTTTATCTACCAGCTTTGTACATGCTACTTATTAACATTTTATTACACGAATGTTGGGCCACAGATACATAAGGTATAGCCCTACGTATACGAATAAATATATGACATTTATTAAGTTTAATACTTCAATAATTATTTTATTTTAATTTTTTTTTTTTTTTGTATACATAAAATATAAAATTAAGTGCATAAAACTAATAAAATAATAATTATTAATTTGTTTTTAAATAGTGCGATATAGATTTCAGAAATTCAAGTCTGATTTTTTCCCTTTTTTAGTATTTTTAATTTTATTGAAAATATAACTATTTTTAATTTGAAGTTTGTTTCCTGCAGGCTTTTTATGCTCTTACACTCCTTTGAAATAGTCACCTGATATAAATGTAAAATTATAGTGGCCTATAATTATTTAAAAAAATAGTTCATTGTGGTCCAATCCTTGGGTACCCATTATTTAATATAGGTTTAGCGAATATTATGTTTAACGCGAATTACTTTAGTAAATACACACTTTACAAGCCTACTGCAAGTTACCGCACACTTGGTTAGTATTGAATAAAAATTTAAAAGTTAGTTATCGACTTGACATGATGTAATAGTAATTTATTATTGTTAAAGTACTATATATGGGTATAGCTTATTAGAATATTAATATAAGTATTGTTTTAATGGGATTTTAATGGAGCGTAATCAGTATTTTGCTTTTGAAACAACCTGTCAAAATATTCAAGAATAAACAACTCGAGGTCCGTCGTACACTTTTGAATTCAAAATTTCGACCTCAAACCTTTTAGATAATTAACTAATTTGTAACAATTTGTAACGCAAATCGATTTGTAACAAAAATTACCCCGAAAGAATTTTCAGGACTTGTGGCTGACGTCTCTATTAATCAATTCTACCTCAAACCTTTTAGATAATTAGTACCTAATTTGTAACAATTTGTAACAGTAAATCAGTTGTAACCCAAATACCCCAGAAAAGTATTTTTCGGAATCTCGATGACGTCAGCCTAATTAAAATTTCGACCTCAAACCTTTTAGATAATTAGTACCTAATTTGTAACAATTTGTAACATAAAAATCGGTAAGTACAAAATTACCCCGTCAACGTTTCTAATTTTGGTGCCAGGCTGACGTCATCCCAACACCCAAAATTTAACGACTATTTAATTTTGTTACAAATCCGATTTTCAAAATTTACAAGTAGAATACTAATATCTAAAATTTATCGAAATTTAACAATTCGAAGACGACCTACGAGTTACTTTATTCTTGAATATTTGACGGTTGTTTTAAAAACAAAATACTGAGTAGCTCCATTAAAATCTCATTAAAACAATACTTATATTAATATTCTAATAAGCTATACCCATATATAGTACTTTAACAATAATAAATTACTATGACCTATGATAACCTATAATTACTCTGAAGCGGAAATAGATTTTTGAAAATATTTTCAAAGCACGCGTTCATCATAAAAATATATATATATATATCGAAAGCGATTTGTGTGAGCTTAAAAAACGTATAAATAAAATCAAATGACTAAAATATCAGTGTACCGGCATGTGATATGGATTTGTCCGATCATAAGATATTCTAAAAACTGTTTTAATAATATTTGGGTGTAATATTCGATTGGAAAGATTTAAGGAATTATATCCGCAATGAAGTTGAACATAAGAAAAAATACGTTACGTTTTATAATAATATGTGTTGTTTTTTTTTAATAAACAGTTTTTGGTTTTCTGCCATATAAGTGTATATAAAAATACATTTTTCGTATACTATTTTCAAGATGTCATATAAATCAAATAGTATTAAATATGACAATTTCCGTATTTAATATAACTTCTATTAAACATATTATTGTTTATATTGCGGGTATAACTTAGAGCGGTTCGATCATGTGTACGGTGTAATTACAACTCATGTTAAAGAGCGTTCATCACTTATATGGTTCAACTTGTATTGTATACAACAACAGTGGGTTCGTTGATTTAGTTGAAAATAATCCAAACATACTTACTCGTCAGTTTTCTGTGCTTGCGTGGTCTTGTGTGTGTGTATAACCGTAACAATTAAAATTAACAACATTATTGTAGCATTCTGGCGCACATGTAGTACAAATAAGGCACATTATATTATTATTTTGCGGGGGTGGATGAAGATACATAATATTATTGTACTATATTATAACAGTGTACCAGGTATATTCTCGAAATAATTTCCAAACCAAAACGACGACTTCGATTTCACTATGTTGTGTCCAATGAGAATCGCGTGAAATTACATCATAACTTATAAAATTAAATTTATGATTAAAAAGTCACCTACTTAAAATGTTATATTAATATCAATAATAATAATACTTAAAACTTTGTGATACTATTTTCTCTTAAAATTATGAGAATAAAATTAATTGCAAATTTCAGTAACACACCATTTATCGGATTCGTATTTTTACAGATCTGTTATCTTCTTAATCTGTCAAAAATTGTTATTCGTATTTTATACTCAGACACAGTATATTATAAATTATAATAAATATATTTATTTATTTTTTTCAATTATATATATTGAACCACCCATAGTCATAGTAAATATTAACATATATATATATATATATATATCTATAAACTGAAATGAATCTAATAATACATGTTTTTGATTTTTTTTTCATTATTATTGATGTGAAATTATAATTTTTATAATTTATTGATAATTATTTGTTTGGATAAAATCATTAAAATATTTATATAAAAACTTATCAGTAATTAATTAATTTGAATATTGTTAAAATTAAACTACACTATGATAATACTTATGTAGGCTATATTAAATAAATTAAACAGTTGAGACAAAATATAATGCTTATGAAATAAAATAAAATTCAACATCACTGCAACTTATTTTACAGTAATTTAAATTTAAGAATCAATTTTTGTTAATGTACGGTAAACAATCATATTATGCAAACATAAACCTAAGGTCAACGATCAACATTCATTCGATATATATCAAATCTTCTAAACATTTATTAAACATTTATTCGTGGGTAAAATATACAGTAGTAGCATAAAATAAATGTGTTCTATAAATGATAGAGTTTTCATTCCGACTACCACCCGTACGTCTACGTACCTTTAATTAAGTTTCTTTTTCTTCGCGTACAAAAATAGATGTAATTCAACAAACGGCTGGCTTCATAAGATGTGGAATGAATACGGTGGAGGTGCCTATTCTAATTTATTTTTTAAATGAATTACATCTGTGCGCATGGTCATAAATGTTACCTGCTCGTTCGCATCTTTGTACATTGTGCTACGTACAACAATAATAATAACTATTTACCGTCTCGTTCCGCTTTTTTATTTAGGCACCTAACGACGCTCTTGAAATTTCAAGTGTCAGCAAGGGATAATGTGATTTTGGAGTACCTATAAAAGTTTATTTTGTGCGAATGGAAAATATAAACGGTCGATTTAACAGATCCCGGTAAGACTAAAATCTTTTACTGGTGATGATTCCATTCTCCTCTGTTGTATACCAAACATCTAAGGAATGGAATGTGTCACTTTTTTATTATTATTATATACCTTGATTGCTAACGGTTTGATTTAATTATTTTTTATGATTTCTGTAACGAAAATATTACCTTTTTGTATGAAACTAAATAAATTATATTAATCACATTTTTCGTTAGAAAATTAAAAAGAATATGCATTTTTTTCACCATAAAAAATATTTATTTTTTTCTGACAATACTATTATTAGACTGATTTTCAATGTGATAATTGACTAATGAACGACATGTATGATGTATAAATATCGACTATTTATTGAGTGAGTGATTATTGAAAACAATAATTTTCAACAGGTAAATATTTATCTAATTTAGTATGACGAATTTAATTGATTAAAAACAATCTTAAGATTCTGCAAAGAGTGCAATGAAACAGATATGATCAGTATTTATATTTAAAAAAAAAAAAAAAACCAAAAAATATTTTAATAATGATAACCAATAATAATTATCTTTAATTGTATTTTATGATAATAATCACCCATCCTTGTTCCACCTCAAAATTTATTCTACTTAATATGGCTATACCAAACCATCCAATTTATGAAATGTTTTTTCCTTTAATGATGTATTTTTAATGTAATATTAATTCTTTTATTCATGCACCTACGTATTTATCATTTTTGTAAATTATATTAAAATTATTGTTAGTATTATAATAAATAAATATATATATTAATATATAACTTGTGATTCAAGTGATGTTGTTGGTTCATTAAAATAAAATAATAAATAAATATGTGTTCACAGGTACGTTATCACGACGCTATGCGGTGAGGCGTGCAACATATCGTCATCTGTGGTGGCCGTGCTCTTTTGGATCGGTTACTTCAATTCGACGTTGAATCCACTTATCTACGCATACTTCAACCGAGACTTCCGGGAAGCATTTAAGAACACACTGCAGTGTGCGTTCTGCAACCTGTGCCGGAGTCCACCGTCCGACCTAGAAGCGCTTGACGCACGGAGGCCGTCACTCCGGTACGACGACCGCACACGCAGCGTGTACTCCGAAACGTACCTGAACCACTGCGACAGACGTCGGTCCAGTCAATTTGGCAGCAGCTTATGATCCACCGTACCGCCAAGACCCCGGCATCAAATATAGAGCTTTTTCCGCACACCCCTAGCCAAAACCTGCACCGAAATCCATCCCTCGCCCCTAAAAACAAAAAGGGATAAATCGAAAAACAGTTGCCACAATTTTTAGTGTAAACGAAACTCGTTGCGTTGTCGTATAAAATAATGTGATTGATTATTGATGAATAATAACAATATTATGCGGCTTGGATTGTGTTGTGTACTTGGTGACTGCTCGGGAAATATGAATAAATACTTTGGTTTTTTTCTAATGTCTAAAATCAAATTAAGGAATTTAATTTTTTTATGGCTGTTTGCAATATTAATTTAAAAAAAAAAAACAAATCTCTTAAAAATTCAGAGGTAATAATACTTGTACTTGGTTCGTGATGAAATAATCATCGTGCGATATAGGTACAAATATTTGCGTACATTTATAGACCAATTCCTTCTCCTTTGCAACTACCTCACAACAGAGTGCTATAAAAATAATTGATATTCACCCGACGGTGTATCGTCGCTGTCATATAATTTTACTCAATTATGTTCTGTGTCGATGTATCTTTACTGAAATCACCACCCGTCGCGCAAGTTCACCACAATGACTCGAACGATATTGTATTATTATTATTATTATTATTATTATTATTTATAACGTAACGACATAATAATGATACTGTACGATATTTCTGATGTTGTTTGTATTTTTAATCAAGGTGAATAAGCTAAAATAATTATAGCAATCATTTTCGGATTCTGTTTTCTGCATTTTTTACGATCACATTATCATTTAGTCGTCGACAAACGCTACAGCTGTTGAGTTCACTATAATGTTAGGTATATTGTAGATGTGCCTACGTGAAAACGAAAAGACGTGTCAATGTTGCGCATTAACATTAATATTAAATGCAATACAATAATAATCATATTTTGATTTTATAAGTTTTTATATATTTAAAAAATAATGTACTCGTCGAGTGTAATACATGCAGAGTTTAGTTTTATTTATGTTCGCTTTTATTTTAAAGATATAATATAATATCGTTATACTTTTCTATAAAACAAATAAAAAAAAAAACAACAGTAGGATTTATACTCCTATTATAAACAACACGAGCCACAACATTTTAAATGAAAGTATTTGTTGATAATTTTATTATCAGAAAATAAATTGTATAGTTTCATGAATCGTAGAAAATAGCAAATGATGATGTACTAAAGCAATGTGTTTTTTTTAGTGAATTCTACCTTCTTTTTGGAAACTGTATCAATTCAAATAGTATGTTAACATTTAATCAATTTACGATTGAATTCCCGGTTAAGAACAATAACAAACAAGACTGTATAATTTCGTTTTCGTCTTTGTTACTATATAACCTATTAGTTTTAAAACATATGTAATAATATTGTAATATAACAGTCTGTTGTAAACTATTGAGGACATAGTTGTTATAATATAAACGATCACTAACTTTTTTATTGTTTGTTTATTTCGATATTGTTTATTACTATTAAATAGATTCACCAATACTATAATACTGTACATAGACGTTATGATACTATGTTTTAAGAAATATTGTTTCTAAAATGTTGAGAATTGTATTTTAATTTAATAAATTGTTCATATATCAAAGTTTTCGAGTCTCGTTAATAGGAATAATAATAATAATAATAATAATGTTAAATAAATCGTTGATGTTTTTGAAACCTATAACCAAAAATGGATAAAAATACTATTAAAAACCTTCTAATTACAATCAACATCTCGTGTCATAAGAGTGTATATCTTGCAATATTTATCCGATTAATTCTTCTAGAGCTATGGTTAGACAGTTATTCAATCATACTTATTTGCATTATAATTTAATTTTTCAATTAAATCACTGTGATTAGATGGTCTACTATTTAGATTACTACAGCGTTACCACAAACTGCATCTATTGTAATGTACAATATACAAATTTATAGTATGTGTTTCTTACTTCAGATGTGTATTATAATATCATGTTAACAATTATTAACTCAATGACTAGTGTATTTTTTCACACATGTCGTATACTGCATATCAAGGCCTAATTTAATTAATTTTAATTTAGTAACCTTTTTACAGTATATATTGTTGGATAGAAAGTTTACAGTTATTTTGGTAAATTAATAAATTAATGTGCACAAAATAATAATAATAAAAAAATATAACAAATGAATAGGTTCAATGGGGTCTCGGTGGTACATTTTAATAAGATAATTAATTGATTATTATGTTGTTGTTGATTTTTAAGGTTTAAAATATTTTTGTTATTATACTAGTAAAAATTTGATCATTAATTTTTTTCGAGCGTGTTATAAAGGAAAATGTAAGTAACATTTTCATGAAAAAAAAGAGATAAATTAAATATTATTAATTTAGAGTTTGTAGATGATAAATACTACTTCCGAGAAGGAGGAAAATATAATCAAATTATTTTTACCATAATGTAAGATGCGAATCAATTGTCGAAAATATTGTAATTTGTTATTTTGTTTTTTTTTTTTTTAACTTTTGAAATATTGTTCTATAAACTGTATCTACTGTAAATAATTGCAATTGTTTTTGATAATCTTCTTTTTTTTTTTTAATAAATAATATAACAATTATGTATAAATACGTAACACTACAAGTATCAATACTCTGGTGTTACAGCTTAACAAATAGAAAATATAATAATGACGTCAAAATAAATCACTTAATGGACACAAAATTCGAAAAATTTCTTACTGATACCTACATAAATAATAATTATTGGATGAAAAAAATGAAAAATATCAAATATTTTGAACTGAATTTATTTGTCCAAGTTAAAAATAGGTATATAGTATTGATTTTTTTGTTGTTTATCGATATTTTCTTGGCGACACAGTAATGTTAAAATACTTTAACATTTGCAACCACTTCAATGAAATCGATTTATTTTTTTGTACGAATGAATAACATAATTTACAATAGAGATAGAGACCGTACGCAAAAGTACACGTTAACACCATTACGACAAAATAGCGGGTACCTATTTCATGACGATTGTAATATATAAACTTTCAACACTATACTCGTACTCACGAATCTAAAATAGTCAAATATGTTTTATTTTTTTTTTTATCCAGCGTATTCGAATATTAGGAATATTGGTAAATTATAGCGATCGTTATTCAACTTTCTGCTTTGCAAACTTGGACCAAATGTATACATAATTGAATACCTATTAAAATGCAATCTTTATGCTAACCTTGTGTAACGCCTTTTTATCCATGAATAACACAACCAAAAACTTAAGTATTTTATAAAATTACAAAGTATTGCATTCAGCGAAATTAATTATTATGCATGAACGCTTTAAACGGATTTCACATTCATATTAATCGTTTATAAACGTATTATCTAGTGAAATTACTGTTCCTTCTTATAACATAACAATTATATTTTAACATACAAATAGGTATGCAATAGATTATACTAATATATGTATACAATGTTTATGTTTACTCTGAGATGTGTTGTTTTGTTATTACCATTATATAACAATTACTAGCAAAATCACCACGTAATACTATTCTACTATATAATATATAATATGTATATTGTTTATGTACTACAATGTAGTAATAATTATTATGTATATTTAATATTAGTATTAGATGCAGACACATTTTGTACCTGAAAAGTCCTAATCGAAATTGTAAAAGTAGCATTGATTATTAATTCTTTATTTATACATACATTTTTACTACCTATTTACAATAAATTTTATAGTTACATATATGTACAAAATTATATCAAAAATCTATATAATATATCTAAAATATATATATTAATAATAATAATAATTGTAATAATAATAAGTTTAATAATATAATGTATTATGTGTATACTTTAACTACTATATTTATCATTAATTATAGCCCACTTATGACAAAAAAGAACTATAGAGTGATTCTAACGGTTGGTTATGTGTTAAGTCTTGCTTAAAATTTTGAACTATTGTATAATATAATATAATGATTAAATAACTACGTATTCAATATTTCGGACTTTTTTTTTTATAGTCTTTGTCACGTAATTTTTTTAGAAAATCCTTAAAAGAATATTCCTTACAATTTTAAAGAAGTGTTTTAAAGAATTGTATCATTAAAAAGACAGTTTTCATTATTTATTTTAAGAGAAAAATTGTTATTAAATATTATTTATACACGTTTCTTACATATCATGCACATAAATTAATTATTTATTTTTATACTTATACTATATTATATACACATAGTTGTATTGATAATTTGCTTAGTTAACTTATTGTGTATTTTTTTTCCATACATTTTCAAGAACAACAAAAAATTCAAAAAACAATCATACAATAAACACAAATTCAATTTAAAATTTCGTCAAATGCATTATAAATCAGATTTAAGAAAAAATCGTAGCGTTCGAAATCATCAGTAAATTATAGTGGTTCTAAATAGTGTGATAAATCGATTTGTTTAATTTAAATAATTATTTATTAATCAATTTATTGATTATCTTATAATATGTATTACCTATATTTAAAGTATTTAAATTTAGTTTTTAACAGCAAATATTCAATTATAATTAATAAAATATATTTTAGTCAGCAAATAAATATTGAAAATCAATTCTAAATATTAGTGGAGCTTATTTTTATCTAAATAATATAAATGGTGAGCATGCTAATAAGATAAGTTAAATAAATAAATATAATAAGGGATTCGGGAACTTTTCGTGTAAACGATCAATTTTTCAAGTTATTTCAAAATCATGATTTTTGAAAAGCAATACTGGTAGAAATAAAAAAAAAAAACATGTAGCACAAAAAATTATCAATTTATTTCACTAAATAAAATCATCAGAAATTAATAGGCAATAGGTATTAAAAAAATAATAATAAGTCTTAAACTTAGAAACATTTTATTTTATAATTGTAATCGAATTTTAGTTTATAATTTACAGGTCTTGATATTTATACATTATATGAGCCACAGATTCTGTTCTCTGTTCTATTTTATAAGCTATATATAAATATATATGTAATAGTCCTATACTCCTATATACAATAGTCAATAATAATATAAAATATTTTTGATACTGATTAGTAATGATGTCGTTAAGAAATCAAAAATAATATTGATTCTTATGAAATATGCATCAAGATTTATATCATTATTGTGTATTATTACTCATAATAGTTATGCATAGGTACTTACGATCAAAAGTTTTTAGTCAAAATGATACATTAAAATGTATACTTATTAATACTAAATTTGACGATAATGATAAATTTATAATCGTTATTGTCACCAGATAATAAAGATAATAATCTTAATCATCGATGTTATCTGAATAATAATATTTTATAAAACACTCAGTGAATCCGGTAGACGTAACATAATATTAAGCATTTCATAAAATTATCCAACAACAATCAACATTAGTTATCGAAATTTATAATATCATAATATTTACATGTTATAAAATACATATAACATAGTTTTTAACTGTAGGATAAAACTGAGAACGGGCCGTTAGTAGGTCGATAGATAGGTTATTCAGTGGTTGACGAAGTGTCTCCGAGTTTTTTTTAACTTACCCAAACATATTTATCTATTATTTTTTAATAATGTTACCTATTTTATGACACAGATTTCTGATTATAGCATACATTTTTGTCATTAAAATGTAACGTTTTCAATAAATTATATCAACAGAAATTTGAATAAACGTTATTCGCATATCATATTTTTTCTCATGAACACCAACACTACTTATTATTCAGACTTGATTAAATTTTAAGAACTGCTGATACAATAGTATAATATTTGCATTAAGAAATAATAACGATCCAATTTTGGACGTAAAATTATTTCGGTATCGATGTGTATGACAGGATGACAGTGGCACGTGCACTGCACTGATAAAGAATTAATTCACATCCCGACTGTAAAATCGATTTTGCCATCTACCATCTGGCAGTTTAATGAAGTACCATAATAACTTAAATCTCGCTCTTAATAAGTATACTTCTTTTTTTCAATTGATTTTATATTATTAAATATGTGAACATTTGTAGTAGTCTTGAGTTAGTGAAACTAATATATAGGTAAATTATGTGCTTTGTCAATGGAACGTTTTTTTTTTCATTTGATATATATATATTCTTATACAAAAAAAAAAAATCTTTAAATATATAAAACCTATATATATATATATATAACCTACTGCTGTGATTTCTTTTTATTATTGAAAAACTGATTATATATTATATATATAACTTGATAATATATGTTTATAATATATTTTTTAAATTAACAAATAATATTTAAAAAAATCTTTAACTATGCTAAAATTAATCAAAAAAATATAATTTAAATCAATAATAGATTCTGAGGGAGTAAAATCTTTAAAATTAAATCAAAATCACAAGAAATATTAAATGTGAAAACATAATATGGGTATTGTACACAGTTACTGTTTCTTTGATAATGCATTCAGG